CAGACATAAATAGAGACTCTCCTAACACCGATATAGGTACATATGTATTATCCAACTTAGTTTATATGTTTTTGAGCAAAAATTGTTAATACCCTAATGTTGGGATGCCGACACCTATCTTTTAGTTTATGGTTCTAACATTGTCGCCAGTTTGGAGCCTGTTTTCAGTTATTCTGTTTAAGTTTCAGATAACCAAAAATAACTATTGTAAAATACAATAGTTCCTTTATTTTTAGTTTTGATATTAGCCCACATCATTCGTGATTGTTTAGAAAAATGTTTTTCTTTTATTGATAGTTTTTTTTTCATTAAGACAAATAATTATTTGTTGTTTAGACATTAAAATTCTTTAGACATTAATAATTTTATGACTTGATTTAAAGTAATTACGACATTCAAAATCGATTTAACACTTTTATCGTTTTATAATTGTTTTTATATACTCAAGAGTGCCAAGATAACGCAAATCCCTTTATTGCCACTAATTCAAACGACAGGTTAATTGAAGGTCGCGGTGCTGACAATTAAAAGTTGTCATTTTTTAATAGATTCGCTGATATTATGTTAGAGTCCGTTGCACTAATGTTAGAGGCACTTAAAGACTCAAGTGCAACTCCAAGTGAACCTCATAAATATTTATTCTGGCTGCTATTGGACTTCACGGTCTGCACTCGATGCGGGCCGCTTCACTACGTTATTTTCACACCTGTTAAGTGGTCCACACTTTGCTGACTCACTTTTATTGTTGCGCGACCACAGGAGAAATTCACTATTGACGCTACACGTAATTGTTGTTTCCACTATTTTAATAGCGAAATCAAATTGTAATAATAGTAATAAATGAGCAGAAATAATGAACAGCGAATCATAAAAGCAAATAAAACGTGAGCTGCCATCAAACACTGAATTGCGGTCAAAACAAAGCGCAACTCTTTCCCGTCGAGAGACTAGCAATCAAACCTGGAACTGTTTCTGTGATCCGGTGACAGTGAAATAATAGCGGCACTGTCCGTAATATAAACAAAAGTATCTTATTTCATCAAATGAATTCCAAATGATTTCTTTGACTTTGATTCTTTTAATTTCACTTTATATGAAATTTGTTTACAATTAATTAAAATCTTTTGAAATGAAAAAATGCCTTTGTTAACTGCTTGTAATTTGAAAGATTGTTTATAATTTGACTATCTTTTGTGGCAAAGGTTTCAATGTGCTTCTTATAGGTAACTGTTAAAATCACATTTTTTCCATATTCAATGAAATGTCTTCTGAACACAAAACGTAACGGCAAACCAATAGAAAAATTGTAAAAGTGAGAACTCCAACAGACTTCACTTCATAACCGATACTGCGATCAATTGAGTTGTCCACTGATTTTAGCAATTCATCTATTCAAAAAAAAAAAACAAAGTTAAATAAACAATACAAATTTGTTGTAGAATAGATATAACACTACTTCTACTATTGAGCAGTACTGGAAAAACCACTTTCGATTAATATGTTTGCAAAACCTTTAAAACGTTTCTGATATCAGATAATTTTATTCAAATTTAAATAAAACTTCAAAAAATGCAGAACTATCATAGATATGCTGAGATAGGCCGCAGTATACTATATAAGTTAGGAATTACCAATAGAGACGAATACAGGAAATGCAGAAAGCTAGAAAAAAAGACGGCTGTACAATATTTCTTATGTTTATGTCGTTTATTGTCATGGAAACGCTTAATCTTCCCCTAATACGTCAGGACCAATAAACCAGCCAGATTAATTTAATCAAACTCAAATAAAATAAATAATGAACTTGATATCTGTTTAAAAGTTTAATAAACACAGCTTATTATATGAAAAAGTCGCGCCTCTACCTTTTTTGCATTATATACACACATAAGACACTATTTTACACAAAGCGATTGGATGACGAAACAACAATCTTCCAGTCAATCAGGCTATTTATCAATGAAAATCGATAGCCACTACTTCTTTTATAAAACTACTTAGCATCATTTTTAAAGTACAGATAATGTAAATATAAAGTAGTTAAAAATGAGTCAATTAAAAAGCATTTTATCCTGTGTTAGAATAACAGGTTAATCTATACAAACAGATAGAATACAAAGCAGCCATATTCAGTCAAAAGTTGGGTCATGTAAAATCAAATTCTTTTTGCTTTCTATTAAGTCGCATTCGTTATAATGAAAATTATTCTAGCCATGCTTTTAATTAATTAACCACTTTTAATCAGTCTATAGTAATACATAAAATAGAAAGCACCCATGCTTTTATTTAAAGGTTGGACTATATGAATCAGTTCAGCTATCTTCACGATTCATAATCAGACATTTTATTCTGGTCAAAAATATAGTTCCATAAAAACCATTTTCGCTAAGCTATGTATTTACCGAATCCTCGTCTAGTGTTGATCTCCTTTAAAACGTGTGGTATCTAATATGTAATTTATACATACATAAAACGTTTGCTATGGCTTATATATATTTTTTATCCTCATTAAACACTGCAAACTATTGTAGTTATAATTAAAAAATCGAACATTTTGTATATCTTTAAGTATAAATTATAATGTATGTCAACTTTAATTAATCAGTAATGTGAATCAAATTATCTCACTAGTTGCTACCGACTGAAGGTTGGTAGTTGTGTCAGACAATATTGGATGCTGTACTTTTGCCATCTAAATTACCTCTTTACCCCACAGTCATAAATTATAGCTGAACTAGATAATCTAAGCCAGACTCTTTCATTGAAATTTGTGGCACATTCGTGCTTGAAGCAAGCAACTAAATTAACTTTTTACCGCCTTTCCTGCGTATGTGGCATGAAATTGGCGTGTAATACTGACTAACCCCAACGTACGTACCACGCGGTACTGTTGCGTGGGTGTAAAATAAATTGCATTGAACAGAATCCAATTTAAGACTCTAAGCCAAAAGCCATTAAGAAAACACTGATCGCTTAGATAAAAAACACTGCTCCAATTAGCATTATTAAGCAATAATACTAACTATATTGTACGAGTTTGTATGTGGTAAAGTGTGTGGTTTATATGTACGCTGACGTTTTTAATATGGTAACTAATAAAAATAAAACAATATCCTTAAAAATATTTATACTTAAGCCCCAAAGATAGCGCTTCCAATTTGTTACGCCATTTTTCTGAATGAAAAGAGATTCCACGCGGTTTGGCCGATCGCTTTCCGCTGCGTCAGCCAATTCAATAGATTTGTTGTTGAATGCAAATTTAAAGCGAATGGCAAACACTACTCCAAACATGGACAACAGTATTTGGACAACGTGACCCATTACCAAAATAAGAGATCTCGATTCTATTTCATAATTTTATGAGCTAACAGTGCAATACGTTCACGAACTTCACCGTTCATGTCGTCCGAAAATATGATGAAAGAATTTAACAATCCAAAATAAGTTGCGAATTTACTTAAGCATGTTTACCGTGGGCAAATTTATTAAACCACGCTCCACATGCTTTGTAAGTTTAGTAGATTCTTATTTCCCATTTCTTCGTTTTGTGTTCTCAATATTTCTCAAAATTGTTTACAAAAATAGCACTTGGGGGCCAATACGAAAATTGCGATATTGGCCATGGCAATTCAATATTGTAGGAATTTCTTTCAAAAAATTCCAATGGTCCACAATCCACAAAAGTTTAAATAAAATTATTACGAAGCATATCAAACGCAGACAGTGATAATAAAGATGTCGACGCAAGTCATTACCATAAAACAACATTGCAACATGACTCCCCGCAGCTAAATTTAATGAACACAGCTGAACCGTTTCGTGAAAGGGTAATGAAAGCAATTAAAAATTATGGGACATACGTAAAGGATCAAAATTACCTGAAAATTAGGTGAAGTCTTTTGAAAAGTTTATCAATTACAACTGCAAGACAGGAGTTATTTAAAAATTTGTTACAAAGAATGTTAGTTACTAGAACTAACATTTCATTTGTTGGAAATCAACAGCTTTTATAATCCAAATAAAAGTTCTAATCGAAATACGAGTTATCCTATAAAACTTATCTAAAACAGAAACGGAAGAACTTTAAATATCAACGCAAATATTTGCATATCCCAACGTCTGAGCACATCTTTGTGCAGCACAAAAGAATGATAGTACAACGAATTCAAACTGAAAAATACAAAGTATACTTCTCGACAATTAGTTCTGTAAAATCGAGATCTGCATCATAAAACTACTTCTGTTTGCATAACTACTTCTCTGAACAGATTCAGTGATTCAAAAGAAAGGTTAGGCCAACAGATTTGGCCCCAAACACGTTAGCGTATGTGTTGGCAAACAAAATTAAGTAAAGTGCGATACATTAATATCATAATATGTACTATAAAATGATAATATTATATTTCAACAAAATTTCTAATCAAAACTATTCAAATCATAGTTAATGAATTTTTGAAATATGCAATGATTAAAACTAGTAGAATAATACGATAGTTACTAACATATGTTATGATGCATTTTTTGTGGAGAAATGATAAAACTATAGTGAGGTTATAGATACAAAATTCTGATCGTTACGATTTGTGGTTACTTATGCTGTTTGCTAACAACATAACGTACGTATGGTTACTAATCACTAGGTTTTCATGGACGATTCGCTCTACTTTATTCGGAGCCCAGTGCTTTATTGATTTCTGTTCTACAATCTAAAATCTAATATAACAAAATCTACAAATTTCACGATTGCGCATTATATGGAGTTAATACAATCCTTATCTTATTTATCTTATCTTCGCATATTGACAATAACAATACATATTTGTGACTGATAGTAAAATGTAATCGAGAATTATTTGAAAATTAATAAATATATATATATATATATACATATTTCAAAATTTTTATAACATTTGATTACATTACATTTATTTTCTTCAGTTTTATTCATTATTTATTTTTTGTTTAATTGCAAATTTTAATTAAATAATTTTTTTTAATAGATTCAACAACATAGGATACAGCTCCAGGATGTGGAGCCCGCAAAAAGGTCCTACACGACTGTGGGACCTTAGGTTTAGTCATATATTTATATTACTTTTAATGGTAAGTTTTGAATTAAATTTCTTTAAATAATTTGTAATATACTTTCAAGATAAATTTGTAAAAATTTATTTAATAACAATATAAAGATATCACCATTGACCCAAAAAAAAATGTGCTTGATTTCTTGAAAAATTTTTCTCACAGATTCTTGAGTAATATTTTCGCAATCTTTTTGATTTCTTTTATTAAAGAAAATTTATATAGTTGAATAGTATTTCAATAATATACTTCATAGAATTTATACAAGATATGCATGTGTAAATAAAGAATACAGTTAGTATTTATAATTGACAGGTATTTATAAGGTAATAGGTATCCAGTGCTAATACTTTTCAACTTTCATTGAAAATGAATCGGAAAGCTAAAATTGTTCACCCACTGGTTTAATTGTTAATTCATGTATCTGAAATAATGACACAGAGTAAGAGCTTTATGATTATACTTTTTACAATTTAATAGTATATCAAACCTGCACATGTGACGGAGTTTGAAGACAATAAATCATAGCATCAGCTACATCTTCTGATCGCAAAATAGGCATATTTCCGAAAGCTTTACGATCTGCCTCACTGATAATTTCCGTATCAACCGCACCAGGACTAATGCTCTAAACATAAATAGTTTTTTAACGAATTTAGTAAATAAATAATTATACTTACAGTTATTTTGACTTTAGTATTGAATAGCAAAAACTCATTTCGATAAATTTCGGTCATTGCGGTAACAGCGAATTTTGATGGCGGATACATATTCATTGATGAGCCCGGGAAGGTCAAGACTTTGTGACCAGCTATACTGTTGACAATAAAAACATGTCCGTCAATATTGTGCTTTTTCATCGAGCGAAATGCTTCACGAGTACAATAGACAACGCCCATTACATTGGTATTCAAAATAGAACGAATATCTTCTGTATTATTTTCTCTCAGCAGTTCAGTTCTACGTACAATACCGGCATTATTAACAAGCACAGCAACTGGCCCATGATTTTGTTCGATATCAGCAAATACCTTAATGACTTCTGATTCCTCACTTATATCACATTTGATACCATTAAAGTTTTTTCTTAAGTCTTCTTTGAGCTCATTACGTAGTGCATCCAAGCGTTCCTTACGACGTGCCAAACCGATAACGATCATACCATTGTTCACCAGATACTTGCAGCAAGCAGCACCGATGCCCGAACTTGCACCAGTAACTACGGCAATTCTATTGTTCCACCTGTCCATTTTTCAAAAATTTATTTATTATTTCAATGTTCACGTAACTTTTATATTGACAACGTCCATTCAGTTGGAACGTTTTATGAGAACTAAAACCCATAATTTTTTTAATTATACGTTTTATAAATACTCACAACTGTTATCAAGGCACATATTGTAATTTGAAAGAACGTCATACAAATGAGTCTCCATGACTTTCATTTTTATATTTAAAACTATCGAGATATTCTTTAATTGGTGAAGAGTTCACTTCTTGAAGAGAGATTTCTATTATGAAATACTCTTGCAATTGCTTCAATTAAAAGTGACTCAGGAGATTATTGCAGTGGAGAGGTAATAGCAAATCTTTAAAAGAGTTTCAAATATATATTTTACAACAATATAGATACTAAATAAATCGATGGACAATATAAGAACCATTGCATTACACATACACATAGTTATGTATGTTAAAACATAGGTTTTTTGGTGATTTAAATCAATATAAAGATTAATAGATCAATATATGGTAATGTGGTTATAGCAATATCATAATTGTTTAGAACGACTGTGTTCTTAATTTAAGACTAAGACGATTAAGTGTTTATTATATATATATTTTAACCTTTTTCTCTTGTTAAAATCCTACAAATTTTTAAATTTGTTGTCAGTATTTGTATGTTTCTCCAACATATTTGATAACAATCTACACATAATCATGTTCCCTCTTCAAGTTAGTGTAAACCAAAATATGTTTAACTTCACTTTTGGTGATATCTTTCAATTAGTTATATGAAACTCACCGCAAAAAGTAACAATCCTGTTCGGAAAAAATATGGTACAAGGTGCCGTGGTACATTAGGACTAATAATATCCTCAGAGACCTCAAGATTAATCCGATCAAAAAATATATAAAGCTTACAGGCTCCTCGGGGAGATATGCAGATCTGAGGTCAGTTATTGCTTAGTCTGATGAAGTCAAGGTGTAGTGATGGGTTATGAAGAAACCTCCCAGTTAATAGAGTGTAAAAGTGCTCAAGTGCACTGACTCAACTAGCCTTAACACAAAAATATACAGCTATTCAAAATACACATATTCTGCAAGCGAACAAATTGGCTTCCTCTGCTAGAGGGATTATGCAGAGGGAGAGAATTGTCTACCACTTCATACTTACAAAGTCTTCAAAGTTTTTTTTACTATTTTATATACTTGAAATATACAAATAATTATTAATAATAATAAGTTTATTATTTATTAATATTATATTATTATAATAATCATTTATTAATATATAATCAAAGAACAGTTTTATAAGCATTCATATAGTGTATTGAAGAGATATAAACTTAATAATATTATGGAATTTTACATCTGAACTAAGTTAAGTATTTATTTTTTATGTTCTTGGATACAGTGAATTTCATAAAATCATGTATCTGATCATAAAAAAAATATATTTTATGTGCACAGAAGCAATGTAAGAATAGATTAAAGAGGCTGTTGTTTTACATGTATTTTACTTATAACATTTTTTAGGACTATTTGAATATTCATTTGGCATCCAATAGTTTGAATATTTATGACCATTTAGCCAGTTAGCTATAGGTTTAAATAATGTCAATTATTTTGTTAAAGTGATGAAGAACTTTTCTTATGCATCCGATATTGCAAAGAATTAATACTTACGGAAACAAAATAATGTTGAATCAAATATAGCTGAGAGGATAACACAATCGTTTTCGTTATTTTTTAATTTTAAGTGAATAATTATTTGTTGATTTTCAAGCAGTCCTCTTCTATTACAATTGACTCTCTTTGATGAAATTTGCTTACTCAGCAGAAAAGGTTTCAGATATCAAATCAAAATTAGTTGACAACAAGTAGCAAATAGCAAAGAGCATAGATACTATACTATCTAATATTTAAGCTTCTATGAAGTATTTACGCATGCACACTCAGCAATTTAAAAAATAATTACATTCACAAATACAGATATCAGATGTGCGTACATATGTACTCATGTGTACTCATATATGCCCATGCATTATCTGAATTTCATGAATATTTGTTTTTGAACAAATGTTCTAATGAAGCAAAATTAAATCGAAATTAGTACGATAAGGCGAACCGACTGTAAGAGTTCTCAAGCGCTTCGTCCGATACCATAATTATAAAAATAAATCTAGTCGAAAATTTTACTTGGCCGGTACCGTACGCAAGTGCTAAAAAATTGTGTGTTCAACTATCAACTGAATTATTTAAAATATTAATTCAGTAAAAATGGAGCGATGGGTGAACCGAGTCGCAGTGGTAACTGGTGCCAGTTCAGGTATTGGTGCGGCTTGCTGTAAGGATTTAGTAGCCAAGGGCATGATTGTAGTTGGCTTGGCACGTCGCCAAGAGCGTATGGATGCATTTAAAATGAGCTTGCCAGTAGTGCAACAAGTTCGCTTCCATGCACTCCGATGTGATGTTAGTAACGAAGAGGACATTCATAATGCTTTCGAGTGGGTTGAAAAGGAATTGGGTGGTGTTGATGTCTTAATTAATAATGCTGGCATATTTCGTTCTACAGAAATTGTGGCTGAAAATAATACAGCCGATTTAAGAGCTACGGTTAATGTAAATATTTTGGGTGTAGCTTTTTGTACTCGTGAAGCATTCCAATCGATGAAGAAACGTGGTGTTGATGGACATGTCGTCATCATCAACAGTGTAGCAGGACATCGTGTACCACATGCACCAGGTTTTAGGTTTAATATTTATCCACCCACTAAGTATGCTGTAACCGCTATGACTGAAGTGTTGCGTCAGGAATTTTTACTCTATGAAACAAAGATTAAAATTACAGTAAGTATTAGAAAAACTTAATTCAGGATGTTCATATAAATCAAATATACTTCGCAGAGCATTAGTCCTGGAGCGGTTGATACTGAAATTATACCTGATGATTTTAAATCCAAGTTAGTAATGTTGCGTTCCGAAGATATATCCGATGCTGTTGTTTACTGCCTTCAGACTCCACCTACAGTTCAGATACATGAAATGACCATTCAACCTATTGGCCAAATGATGGCTTAAATTAATTGACTTGCAATATATGAATGATAATTATAGTGGGAACCAAGGAATATTTAATTAAATAAGTAGTTGAATAGAATTTAAAAATGTTTGTTATTTTTATAATATTACGATTACATTACAATTTTTATATTATTATTTAATATAAAACATATGTAATTGTAATTCTATTATAAATATTGTGAAAAATAAATACAAAATAGAGAAATGTGACTATATAATGTAACAACTTGTGTCTTGGTTTTAGTATAACGAATCAGGCCTTTCCACACATCAGTATATATAAAAATTTTCTTCTTTCAAGTATTTATTCTTTAAACGTAACCTTAATATAATAAATTTGTGTTCTAAAACTTCATATTATGGATAAGTTGATATCATATTTAATTTAATATGAAACTCGATCAGTCATCAGAACGCTGATATATATTTTGCTAAAGTGTAAATGGTAGATTTACATAGATAGGTCAGTGAACTAGCCGTTAAAGACGAAGCTCACTATTACCTTCAAAGTAATAGCCGATCGGCGAAGAGGTTGAAGAAATTTCTGGTTTTTTATACAACAAATACAATTTAAGTATGTTAAAAAAAAAATTTCAAATATAAAATTACTTTTGTTTAATAAAAAATAGTGTGTTATTTTATTTTAAAAATGTTATATTAAGTTATTTTATTGCAATTAATAAAATAATTGGCTACTTCTGATCCATTCACTGAGCAACGGCTAATGGAAGCTGCAGATACTGTTCAGCATTTTATTGAAAAAAAAATCTAATAATAATTCTATAAAGTTATAAATAATCTGTGTATAATATTCATAAAATCAGCGTGTGTATTATTGAAATCTACGTTAAATCTAAGTTGATTTAATTAGAAATATAAAAAAAACATATTTGTCAAAATATTCATGGCTTATCAATTAATTTTTATTCATTTCAAAAAAAATAACTCGAAAAAAGCTTTAAATATTTTTAATCAATCTTCGACTTTGGGTCCAAAAAGTTTTGTCCACCCCACTGGATTTAATTAGAAACAAATTGCTTCTTAATATCTCAACATGTTAATGTATCTAAATATAAAACAAACAATAACAATTTTTTGATATAATTTAATATGATTTGTAAATATAAACAAATAGAAGAGTAGTGTTAGAGCTACAGTCAGTTAAACACGCTCTCTTTATATATTTTACAATATAAAAATATATTATTTTTCCATATATTTTCATAGATAATTTGTGCATAAACTTACATTAATACTAAAATTCATTACATTATTTAAAATTATTAGATAATATTTATATTTTTCTGTGATGTATAAAAAATCTAATTGTTATAAATATATGTACAGCAGTTAAACGTTCTTTACTACTTTCTAAATAACATACTTTTTATTCAAAATAGATAAGGATTACCTATTGATTAGGTTCATCCCAAAACTTAAAGCCTGAATTTGAAATAATGTAAGATGTTATAATATAAACACTACTAGAGTATTCTATTGTGCCGGCTGTAATCGTCAGATACAGAACTTTTTTTATAAAAAATCATTTTTATTAAATTAATAAATTGACACAATTGATATTCGCTAATCGCTTGCAGGCTTGAAATACACAAGGCGCGGATTGATAACATTTTTGTCGAAAAGTTCAACAAAAACAATCGAGGCCAGAAACAAGTTTCAAAAATTAACAGAAATAAATAAAACAATTAATTTAGTTTGTTTATGTAAATTAGACAAATTATTTTAAAATGAAAGCGTAAATGAATAGAAACACAATAAATACGTTTTTTTTTTATCAACATAAGAAGCATGGGGGTATTCAGGAGTCCATGTTTTCTCAAAATTTTTCCCCCACGGGCTTTATGGTTAACTCATGTATTTGCACATGAGGCGGCGTTTGTATACAATAAGCTATTGCATCGGCAACATTGTCAGGATCAAGCAAAGGAATATCAGTTGCTATATTACCTTTATCACCATAGATATCCGTATCAGTAGCACCGGGACTAATGCTCTAAAGAAAATTTAAGTTAAATATGATTCATGTATGCAATAACTATTTAACTTACGGTTATTTTAATTTTTGTTTCATGCAGTAAAAATTCTTGCCTCAATACTTCTGTCATAGCGGTGATAGCATGTTTCGTAGGTGGATATATATTATAACTGAAGCCTGGCACCTGCACTACGCTATGGCCGGCTAAACTATTAATCACAACCACATGACCATCCACTCGACGATTTTTCATTGAACGAAATGCTTCACGCGTGCATAGTGCCACGCCCATAATATTTGTTTCAACCACAGCTCTTAGATCCGCCGTATTTTGTGGCGCTACAATTTGTGTTTGACGCGCTATACCAGCATTATTTACTAAAACATCAACACCACCAAGTGTTTGCTCTACCCATGCAAAGCTTCTGATAATATCTTCCTCCTGTCGGACATCACACTTCACTGGATAAAAGCGGTCTCTTAATTCTAAGGGTAATTTTGCTCGAAGTTCACTTTCCATAAGTTCAAAGCGTCGCGCTAAGCCCACAACTATCATGCCCTTTGTAACCAAAGTTTTACAGCAAGCAGCACCAATACCTGAGCTAGCACCTGTTACAACAGCAACTTTATTATTCCAACGCTCCATTTTCTTATAACCCTTCAATCACATATGCTTTGTATATCGGAACTATTGCTCGACTTATTAGCTAAACAACACTGAGCTGAAATTTCGAAAGCGACGGAAGCTTTTAATTGCGATTCTACCAACACCACAGTAGTCACTAATTTACTTATCACCAATTTGTGAAGTGTGAAGAATTGAAAAATTGAAAAATTGAAAAAGAGACTTTTAAGTTCGAAGACAGCAGAAGATAGAGCTTTTTTATGTTTCAATGTTTTTAAAACTAAGAAGTTCAGAAGAAGAAAGTATAAATAATATTCTAATAAAATTATTATTTCAGGGGTCCGTTTCTTTTAGATCACATCACTATAAATACTTTAATTTTTGAACCACATATATTATTATATATTATAATATATTTTTAGGATACATTGATTTCATAGGGTTATTAGTTTTATAGATAAGAATAAGATTTTATTATTAATAAGACTACAATTACATTAAAGTACAATTTAGACTGAATGCACATGAATCTAACTAACCTATTAGAATCGTAATTTAGAACCCTATTTTCTTAATAAAATCTCTAAGAACTGTATCAAGATGTACATAATTGGAAGCAACTAATTCGTCTGTTGTTTTAAGTAAATATCAAAGTTCTTGATAACAAGCATTCAGTTGCTTATTGATAATTGTCTAGAGTTCATCGAACACAAAATGGAACGGTGGCGGAATAGAGTTGCTGTGGTTACTGGTGCTAGTTCTGGTATAGGTGCAGCTTGCTGTAAAGATTTAGTAGCCGAGGGCATGATTGTTGTAGGATTGGCACGTCGATTATCCCATATGGAAAATATATTAAGACCCAGTTTACCTGTTGCGCAGCAGTCGCGCTTTTACGCATTAAAGTGTGATGTGAGTGTAGAAGAAGACATTTTAAATGCTTTCGCTTGGGTTGATAAGAAATTCGGTGGTGTTGATGTTTTAATTAATAATGCTGGTATATTACGATCTACACAAATTGTGGCCTCGAATAATTCAGCGGATTTGAGAGCCACTGTTGATGTTAATATTATGGGCGTGGCAATGTGCGCACGTGAAGCCTTTCAATCTATGAAAAGACGGAATGTTGACGGACATATAGTTAATATAAACAGTGTTGCAGGTCATATGGTGCCGCAAGTACTCGGAATTACATATAACATATATCCGGCAACTAAACACGCAGTCACCGCAATGAGTGAGGTTTTAAGGCAGGAATTTTTACTTAATCAAACAAAAATAAAAGTTACGGTACGTATAATTGTGTATACCAATAGCGTGACAAGAAGTTTTCACAAATTTTGATAATATATATTTTAATAATGTCTATAGAGCATTAGTCCAGGTGTAGTGGACACTGAAATTCTTGGTGGTAAGGAAATATTGGAAGCTGATTTAAAAACTTTAAGTGCAGAACATGTATCAGACGCCGTTATGTATTGTATACAAACACCGCCAAATGTGCAAATAAAGGAACTGATCATCAAGCCTCTTGGAGAGAAATTTTAACATATTTAGTTTAATAATTATAGATTTTCATTAAAGTTAATTTTGATATAATAATTTTTTAATTTCTTCATAATCATTTCTTTTACTTTGTATGTGATAATAAATGACTCCCTTCAAAAGATTCGTATATTCTTCTTTAGAACTAAATGAGATGTGCATCTTATAATCCGTAGTTCTAATACAGCTAAGAACTTCTCTAATCAATTGATCTTAATAATGATCTGTTTGTTTGATATCAAAATATTAATTGTTATTTTATTATTTTAATTTTTATTTTTGCCTTAATTTTTTTGTGTTCAAGGAATATTTGATGGTTTTTTACTGATCATTTTTATTTCATATTTGTGGACCAACATGAAATTGAAAATGTTTACACTGAATTTTCCTAATAAAGTTGATATAATATTATTTCCTTTTCCGCTTTTAAGTGCTCAAAGTGCACATCTCAGTAATGCAGCCCCAATCACTTTTTAGATTATATAGTATCACTATGGATTAAGAGGTTTATGCGTGAATTATGACTACCTAGATTAAATAAACCTAACTAATACTTTGGTTATTTTTTTAATGAAGTCATTCTGCAATGAATTTCACATTTTAGGAGTTTTTAGCTCCTTAACTTTAGTAAATAATGTCGAGAAGATAATGGATCTTTAGTAAATAATTTAAAAGGTTTTTTTCTTTGCTTCTTTATTACCGCTTTTGTCCATATTATTGACGATGTGTTTCTAATTTCCACTATGAGTTTATAAGCTTTTGCTAAAATGAAGTTTCGTTCACATACTTTATATTCCGAAAAACCTATTTAACTCATTATAACTTATATTATAACCCCATTATTACACTTTTAAAGAAAATAAAGAAAAGCAATTTAAGTATTTAACTGGCTGGTTTATAAAAATATTAATATTATTGGGTAGATTAAAAAATACTCTAATTCACAAACACTTGCATTATGCATATATAACTGATAATAGAAAAGTTGGGTCTGCTACATGCAGATCATTAATCAAGCGCAGAAGCGATAAATGCTGCTCGTCCAGTTGAGTTTTCTGGTAATTTGTACAAGCGCTACGCTTGCGTACAGATAAAAATTGGTGCAAGATTCTGTGGACGAATGCACGCTCGCAGATGCGCTTTGGCTAGGCTAGTCGAACTTACCAAACCACAGCAACTTTTCAAACAGGAGCTCAGTGAGGCCTGAAAATAGTAAAAGTAAAGTAGGTTTTGCACAAAATTAATTAAATTGCAAGTGAAATTATTTCAGCGTCTAGCGACACGGCAATGTTTAAGAGGAGCAAGCCAACTTGCATATGTGCCGTTGCCAGCCATGCAGAATCTGATATATTTACGTGCACAGAGGCTCAGTTCTTTCGTATTTGTATTAGCAGTTCCTCTACGGGTACCCGCTTTGGTATCTTGGTATTTACGGTGGCAATTCATGCGAAAAAATTTTATTGCCTCTCGCTGTGGTTTTCCTTTCCAATAAAAAACTGTGCAAAAAAAATAATTTCTGTGTTTATGATTTTTGTAAAATTTTCAAATGAGTTTCACTTCACACAAAAGTTTTAAATTAACATTAAATAAAATAATTTTACTGTTTGTTTTTTGTATGTGTATTTAAACAAATTTTTGATTAGATATAAATAAAACGCACAATTCTCTGATAATAACAATTAAGCAAGTTATGCTGGAGTTCAATATATAATTAGTTTAATTATACACTTTAGGTTAAAGCAATCACGAAAGATACTTCTATCTTAATTTTCTATATATAAAAATAAAAATTGTATATGTATATTGTATATTCGTTTATCTTAGGTATAATATGAAGATTAATCCTGTATTGAAAGCGTTAAAATCTGATAGAAATTATAAGATTTCAAGCAATATGTAGTATACTCTTTGGGATGGACTTAATAACCTCTTTATAAAAGGAAATCAGGAAGAGAAACAGCTTAACTTCTATAAACTATTTTGTTTTTTCTGTGTGAAATTGTCTATCTTTAAGATAATTATTTGTTCTAGTTTCCCTAACCGTATTGACGAAGAGCCATGTTATGTAGAGTGTTATGGGCTCGTCAAAATCAAAATTGCTGTTGTTTTCAATGTAAATCATAAAATTGAGAGTGAGAGAAAAAACAATAATTCAGTTCAAATTTGATTATGAGAGTCGAGGCTATCTGTGCCTCGTCATTTAGGCTAAGCAATGTTATTCAATAATAAATGTCAACATTTGTGTTTTTCAGTAGCCAATTATTACAATTTCTGTGATACTCTGCATAATATGCATTAACGTCATAGCCTAAAAGAGCCAATTTTGACAAGCTCATGATACTCTACATAACTAGGCCCTTAGTTAATACAAAAAACAAAACAATTTATAGAAGTTAAGCTGACTCTCTTTCTGACTTTCTTTTAAAAAGTGGTTACTAAGTCTATCCAAAACAGCTATAATTAAAGCGGTTTCCAATGTTATTTTCTAATACCACATAAATTTTTATTATATTATTTATTTTCATACCTGATTTAAATTAAGCTTCTTTATATGTATTAAAAACAAACAATTTATTAAAATTAAACTTGCTATTAGTTAATGATTATATCAATAATCATCTACACCAAGAGGATTCTTTCAATATTATCGAAGGCTTAATAAATTTCTTTAGAGTGATCTAATTGTATTAGCTGAGTCTAAGAAGTTTCTAGATAAACAACAAGTACGCTCTTAACTACTAAATCCTCATACAATGCACAAATCCGGCTTCAAGAATGCTAAACCTCTTTAAAGATTAAGAGGTTAAGGTTTATTTTATATAAGGTTGATTAAGGTTTATTAGATATATGAATTACCTGTAATAAAATGATTAATCTCTTCTATCTAATATTAATACGCTCATAGCAATAGTATCAGAAGGAAAGGTTATATGTAGCCAACAGTAAACCGACTCTTTTCAAATGTTAATCTACGGTACATTGTTCGGTTAGCTCACCCATTTTACAACGGTATTTATAGTATGTGAAAACACAAAGAAGAGTGTCTTACTTTTAATATGTTTTCAAAGTCTAGGGTACATACGATGTAATCCTCATTTTAATAACAAATGTTAAACGTTTTAAAATGCAACTATTAAATTTATTAGACGATTTCCAAGAAGGTATGGTTTTCCATTCAGGATGCTGATTGATTCGTGATAAGGTATGAGTGATAATTTTGCCATAAGATCCTATGACAAGAATGAAGTTGTGCTTACAGCTTTACTAATTATCAGTCAAGTATTGTGTTAATGAAGGCTTATGGCAGAACTTTTAACGATCCTTTTCATATTTCCCGTTAAGTCAATTCATTTTGACAGAAATTTGAATATTCAATTTTACTCATAATTTGATGCTACATGAAATCTGACTCTATATATAAAATTCCATT